CACAGCTGACTCGCAAACTCACAAACCGACATTCAAAGCTGGTATCCGTAAAAGCGTAAAGAAAGAGAAAAAAGGAACATAATACGTACCGCGTTTGGTATTACCTACCAACAGAACCTAAGAGTTCAGCAATACGACAAGGCGCAGCATTTCTTAAATCACTAAACAACAATGCCTTTGACACCGAACTCAAATAATAAACAAATTGGGTAGACAATAATAGCGCAAGCAAAAGTGCAACATATCACATGTTCAAAAGAACCGCAGTCATGACGTCATTGGTCTACTTAAATTGGCCGCTATTCCAGTATATCGCAGCGTGAACACAAGTGGTTTGGATTAAGATGGCATATTGACAGTACATCCAGTGACCCTAGCCAGGACTCCGCCCAGGAGGGAGCCAAATCGAGTTCTGGGGTCTTTTCAGCCAAGTGGCTGTCCTCGTTCGTAAAGGAGCGCTTGCATTTGGATTTAGGGAAGTCTTTGAAGCTCGGTCGGGCCACAACTGTGATGCCTTGTGGGTTCGTTTTTTAATGTTTTGACGCTTTGGAAACAAGTCCCAAACTGAAAAAAAATATTGGGCCGTCGGTCCTAGGGGCCTCATCACATCGGGGGGCGGGGGGGGGGGCGTGGCCCTCACGCCCCCACACCTGGCCATGAATACGCTTTGAAATGTCGATTTTTCTCCATACAGCCATTGCTTTCTTGATAAGCTAGCTTAGCCAGTACCTACTTCCTCGCAAACTGAAGGTCGGTTATTATCAAACAGCTCCCAACTTTTTGAGAGCTTAGGCTGGCGCACTTGTGGGATAATTTGAGCATTGCCATGTTTCATGTCTTTTTTTGGTAGTGAAATACGATTGAAAATAAAGTGCGCAGAGGGACCAGATGATAGACATGTGTTATGGTGATTCACTGTTAAAATGCACCAAACGTCGCGAGTCGGATAGTCGTAACAAGACAGACATTTGTTTTGCAGCTGTGACAATAGCAGTGCAGTTTATTGCGATTGTTCTTAGAAGCGACCAAACGTTGTGTCCTGACGGCGCGTTGCCGGTGCCCTGATCCACCCGAATGAACAAGACGACAGGAGTGTCAATTTCTGCGAATTAGTGGGGGGGGGGGGGGGGGGGAGGGCGAACTAAAAGCCCCGACAATCTACCCTCCCCCTTTCTCACCAGGCTTAGCCCATTTGATTTAATTAAACGCAAGATATGTTTTTAATCTCTGTTCAATTTATAGAAGTCTCTAATTCAAGCAGCATAGAAGTCATACATGGTTGGATCCAGGGAGCAAGCACTAGACGCACGCGTCTTTTCTGATCGGCACGTAAACTCGCCCTTTTAGAGGCCTCCTTAGGGCTCCGATGGTGCTCTTCTTTGCCGGCCATGGGAGGTGGCACGCATTTTGGTTGTGAGAGACGGAGACGGACTTAGCCATGAAGGACTTACGCGATTCCCGTGTTCCAGAGATTTCACTTGAATCTCACAAGCCATCGAGTGTCTTTCGTGATGGGAGTGGTACGAGACACCACTGCGCAGAAAGTTCAAGGATAAAAGTCTTTGTGGTACGGTCATCTTTTAACCAATATTTTGTGGTATTCCAGTCAAAAACGCTGGCGGGCCAAGCCAACATTGGGGGCCCAACTCAACATGGAGGGGGGGGGGGGCAGGGCTCCCACAAACGAACACATATCGACATCCGTGCCTGACAACGATCATCGTGGACTTATCGCTTCTATTACTTACGATTGCTTCTTTCAGTTCGTAAAAGCCTTGCGATTTTGCGTCGTTTCCGAGACCAAAGCATTCGCCGCAGCTAACATACCGCAGCATGCACCCCAGCATTCCCCATCGCCTCCCCGTCCACAGGAAAACTCGCAGTGTCAATTGCCGAGTGGGATCGGCTTACCGTTCCCGTCAGCCATTATCCACACTTCAGACCGCACAAATCTGCGAGTAGCATTACGACGCGGCATGGAGATAGCCGATACATAAAGGCGTACGGATTAAAAACTTTCTCGGAGGAGTCATCGTTACTTGGAGAGAATCGGTACATACTACTAATTTATGCTTAGAGGGCAGATTAAAAATCAATGTACCTTTGGTTATTCAATAAGGGGCATGTGCACATACAAATATACAAGGCCATTGGTTCGCATGGTTGAATTATTATGTCCAGAGCAGGTGTCACGGGTTGTTTGGAGCCGGTGGTTACCCAGTGAGGTCATTCTGGTTCCGGTTCAGCCGTCGAAGTAACAACGATGAGGTTCGCTTAAGCAATTTCCTTGCATGATGAGCCCAAAGCGTGACGCTGCACTCTGAATAAATTGATGGTAGTGGGACATACACTTCCTTATGGTACGGGACCTATACTCGGACCGAATGTAGGACCGCCAGTCGCCATGCACCCTTAGTGATTCGTGCCGACCACGTTTCACTGTACCTATGGCGTGATAATGTGTTGAGTGCTAGATTAACTAAGGCGTCTGCTGACAAAGGAGAGCAATATGCTATTTCTGTGCCATCTAGCGACAGAAATCGAGCAAAATATGACTGTAGCGATAGTTATTGGCAGGAATCATAATTAACCAACTGCACGTCGCGATCGCTGGATGTTGTGAACATTGGAAGCTATGGCGTTAGACGAGGCAAACTTGGATGCCATGAACTCCGCCAATGGGCACCGAAGGTGTTCTTATTCATTAGGTGGTCTACGCCCCATTCTAAACCCGTCACAGAGCTGCAAAGTCACATAAGTTTGAAGTTTGAAGTCCTTCATTCGTATAATCATCCTTCACGGCCGATCTTTTGGAATAATGCGTATCATTGATACGTGGAACGCACAGTTAAGTGGATGAAATCCGGGAAGAAATCAGCTTTTGGATTCTGGTTAGTTCAATCAATCGGCTGAGACCCCCAACCGATCTTTAACAGTGATACTCCTGCCCACGGGTTTCATGCACATTTCTTCGACAAGATCTACGGAGAATAAAATAGAATTGTTCCCAGACGGAGCTGCTGTGCGGGCCGGTGGGCTGGCGGCAATGCGTTGGCTGGTCCGGCGCTGCACGGTCTCGGCTGGGCTGGCGTGATTGGACTGCTCCTGCCAGTCGTAACTCATCACCCACGCCATCATGGGGTGAGAGTGGGCTGCCGCTGATTTTCGCGTGGGGTTTGGAACGAGGCGAATGGGGTGCGATGGGTGGAATATCGTGCACGGAATCGGAAGACCGCCGCTCAAATCCCACTCAGTGCGTGAATTTTTCAACGACACCTACAAGTCCGGCCAGAAAAAGCATTTTTCGTCGCAATAGCAAATACATAAGTGATGAAAAATTTAAAAACTTTAACTGAAGGCGTCATGCCCCAGTCCAGATTGTTTGGGATGTGGCTAGCGCAGACCGCGGTGGCCCACCGCCCGCCGCCCAGCTACCGCCCGCGGTGGCTGAAAACGTCATCGGCTAGGGATCACCACCCTGATCACCCACCCGCTCCTCCTGCACAGTCAAACACAGCCCAGGTATCAGCACACGTGATCATTCGCTGAAGCCGAGAACACAGATAGCGAGTCGGGGTACGTTACTGGTTTCGTAAACGATTCCATCAACAATTCGTTGCTTACTGTGCTCCCTTTTGCTCTCCCTTGCAGTATCGTTTCAGATGTTATATTACTGTACAAAACAAGACGTAACGAAATAAGACAATAAGAAACAAGACGCAATGTACGCAGACTTCAAATGCATCTGCGCATTTCGTTCCTCTTATCTCTAACAAACACAATCAAACCTCGGCCCCATCGGCAAGCTATCTACAGATGTCGCCTTGAACACTAAAAAAATTAACAAAGATGTCGCCTCAATCGCCGCACCGCGCAACGCGCTAACAACTGCCTCATCCGAAAACCTGACGCCCAAAGCGTCTTTGCACGGAGTCAGCACGCGCTTTGACGAGCTCCCTGTAGAGTAGACCGAACGCCTTGGAGCAGGAGACGCTGGGAGCCGAGCGTGCAGGGGCCGACGCACGCCACCGGCGAGATGCCAGCGTTGAGCGAGTCCAGAAGCAGCACGCAGAGCGCACAGCCGCCGATCGCGCCACCGCACGACGAGAACTCGGGCAGTACGGTGAGCGACAAGTCACTCGGTTTAAGGCCTGCTGGCGGCGGCAGGGTGTGGGGCCACAGTCAGGCGTCGCCTGGCCCAGCTGCCGCCGGCTGAAGGGAATGGGCCGGCGGCGCTCGCGGGCGGCGGCCTCCGCTCGGCCGGACGCGGCTCCAGCGCACGTGGGCGGTGCGGCGGCGTCGGTGGCCGCCAGCCGGCCGCCACTCGCAGCTCTCCCCGCCATGGGCGATGCTGCAGGCGAAGCACGGCGCCGCCCCGGCAGCGGGCCTCGAGATGCAGCGGGCCGGCCCCCTGCAGCGCGACCATAGCCGGCATCGAGTCCTGTCGATAGGCGCGGCGCAGCGGGGCGCCACTCAGTGGGTCCCGGCCGCTCAGCTCGGCCCGCCAGGCGGCGCAGCGCTCGCCGCCGGCCGCCAGCCGCTGCCGCAGCCGGCTGCGCAGCACCAGCTGCATGGCCGGCGGGCGCAGCGCCGGGGCGGCACGGCTGCCGGCGCGCGGCCAGCAGCCAGCGCGAGGCGCGCAGCACCTGCACCAGCTGGCTCTGGCTCGACGGCTGGGGGCGGTGCCCAGCGCAGCAACCGACACAGAGTGCCGGTCGACCATCCCGGCACGTGCCCGAGGGTCCAACCCAGGCGTCGGCGCCGCCGCCCGCGCCTTTTTCCGAGCTGGTGATGTCACTCGTGAAGTGTTGATGTGGCTTTTCTGCAGCATCTGAGGTAGGTTCGACCGTCGATTCCAGCGAATTGGTGACGACCTCGGCGCTCATGACGGACTCCCGTGAATTATTGACGTGTGGCTCTGATTCGACTCGAGTGGTGATAATCTGCAGTTGGTGGGTGTGCGACACCCCGTGGGCCTTTACCAGAGCCCCATCAATACCTGCTCCATGGCAGGAGCGTACCAGAACACCTTCTTCGCGAGCCCCGCTCTCTTGTCGCCGATAGCTTTCACGAGCAGATCTGCGGTCTGAGCGAGGACGGCGACCTCGCCTTCGGCGGGCCCCGTGAGGACGAACAGCCGGGCCAAGTCTGCACCTGTCCTGAGGACGAGCGTCTCCCGGCGCTGCGTCAGTTTTTCTTCCTTCATCACCCGCTCCAGCAGCTGCGCGTCCGGGCAGAAGAGCTGCTCCTGCAGAAGCACCAGTCGGCGTACCCCGAGAGAGTCGAGATACCGCAACGCCGCGCGGTGCTGGTCGGCCAGCGCTGGTCTGGCGGCGGGGCAGCGGAGCTGTGCGGGCTGGATCGCCTCGGGGCCGGTGACCGGTGGGCTGTTTACGACATCACCTGTCGGCATCGACGTGCTGTCACAGGCCAGCTCCTTCATTACCTGTTGACACTGGCAACCTGTCACAGGCCAGCTCCTACATCACCCGTTGACGCTGGCAACCTGTCACCGGACAGCTCCTACATCACCCGTTGACACTAGCAACCTGCCACAGGCCAGCTCCTACATCACCCGTTGACGCTGGCAACCTGCCACAGGCCAGCTCCTACATCACCCGTTGACACTGGCAAACTGCCACAGGCCAGCTCCTACATCACCCGTTGACGCTGGCAACCTGTCACAGGCCAGCTCCTACATCACCCGTTGACACTGGCAAACTGCCACAGGCCAGCTCCTACATCACCCGTTGACGCTGGCAACCTGCCACAGGCCAGCTCCTACATCACCCGTTGACACTGGCAAACTGCCACAGGCCAGCTCCTACATCACCCGTTGACGCTGGCAACCTGTCACCGGACAGCTCCTACATCACCCGTTGACACTAGCAACCTGCCACAGGCTAGCTCCTACATCACCCGTTGACGCTGGCAACCTGTCACAGGCCAGCTCCTACATCACCCGTTGACACTGGCAACCTGTCACAGGCCAGCTCCTACATCACCCGTTGACACTGGCAACCTGTCACAGGCCAGCTCCTACATCACCCGTTGACACTGGCAACCTGTCACAGGCCAGCTCCTACATCACCCGTTGACGCTGGCAAACTGCCACAGGACAGCTCCTACATCACCCGTTGACGCTGGCAAACTGCCACAGGACAGCTCCTACATCACCCGTTGACGCTGGCAAACTGCCACAGGCCAGCTCCTACATCACCCGTTGACGCTGGCAAACTGCCACAGGACAGCTCCTACATCACCCGTTGACGCTGGCAACCTGCCACAGGACAGCTCCTACATCACCCGTTGACACTGGCAAACTGCCACAGGCCAGCTCCTACATCACCCGTTGACGCTGGCAACCTGCCACAGGACAGCTCCTACATCACCCGTTGACACTGGCAACCTGTCACAGGCCAGCTCCTACATCATCCGTTGACACTAGCAACCTGTCACAGAACAGCTCCTACATCACCTGTTGACACTGGTAGCCTGTCACACGACAGCTCCTACACTGCCTGTCGACACTGGCAACCTGTCACAGAACAACTCTTGCATCACCTGTCGACGCTGGCGAGCCGTCACAGAGCCATTGCATGACATTTACAGGATAGTTCGACATCGCCATCAGCACGATCTCACTTTCATGGGAAAATTTCAGCATCGCCTGGCAATGCTTTCACGGGACAATTTCAGCATCACCTGGCAATGCTTTGCCGGAAGGCATCTCGGACATACCCTGATAACGTTCACTCACAGGGCAACACGATGCTATCTGTCAACATCGATCCACATTACAAGACGGTTTCGACGTCGCTGCTCGGCACTGATACACTGTCACACGGCAGCGCCGACAGGAGCGGTCGCCGCTGGCGCCGTGGCAGCAGGGATGCTCCTGCCGTGAGCAGTGGTCCGACCTGACCTCAGGTCGCGCGCCGCACCTCCAAAGTCATGACATCAGCACAAGAAAGTCAAAGACGCACCAGTGATCGAAATTCTGACATCACGTGAGTTGTTAACTGCATTTGCGAGAAATATTATTCACGTCATAAGACGGTGGTAATAGCCTTATTCCTCGGAGAAAACCTGGAGAATGGAGAAAAAGATACGTTGATATTTCGGCAACATGCAGTTATTGAAACGAATAGCAGAATTGAATTCACTCCTAAGTTCTGACGCTTTGAAAGACAAGAGCTGTCCCAGCCGCTCTCGCAGAACAGCATATGTACACTGCTTGTCGTGAAGGTAGGAAGCCTGCAAAATGCAATTTTTACTAGTCGGAAGCCCCACCATGCTGTCTTCAAGTTCAGCTAGTTCCTATGTTACCTCCAAGCAACAGCAGCACCTGAACTGCGGTGGACCAATGCTAAAACAGTTGTGTGCAGCTGCGGGTTGCAGGAGCCGGGCGCTTCTGTGCTGGCGTAACGCTTCAGACTGGCTGCGAGGTCGGCCTACCTGCCGCTGGTGGGCTGTTGGATCCAGCCGATGCCGTCGACGCAGCCAGAAGGGCGAGGCTCACAGCAGTCCACATCGTCGCCAGCATAGCCGACATCACCGGCATCGTCAGGTCCGATCCTAGAGCGGAAGGACACGCCATAAACAACGACCTTTTGTTCATAATGAATTGCTTGGATCAGCCATGAGTGGGGCAGTGATTACAACATGCAATGCAAGTATGCAGCGCTGTCTCATGTGAGTGAACTGTGTAGCTGTAGCGTACATATGACATCGCTTTCAGCAGTGTTCACGCATAGTTAACTGACTTCTGGCTGCTGAAGTCGGACTGCGAGCAAATTGACGTCAGCAGGAACTGCACGACGTGATAACCGTCTGGGCCCTGCCGAGGGGCAAAACACCAAATTGAGGCTCGCTATCTGATGTTGCGAACAGTTAAGGATTAAGTCCTGGGTTCTTCGACCACCTCGACAAGCCCCCAGAAGTCCTAGCAGTCCTCACCCAAGCGGTGCTTGATTGTATTGCAGCGCTGTAAGGCAGCAAACCGCGACTGCACGTCATGATGCTTACCCATACCCTAAGTCGTACACTAAAAGTTATAGGACCATAGGAACATCAGTCACAGCAAGGAATGTGTAGATGTCTCGAGGCACTCGGTTGCTTCATGAAGCGCCGCAGTACTCGTTGATGGGAGTCCAAGGTTCAGTCTGAGCTTCAGAGCATGCGTCATTCTGTTCAGGTTCCGATGAACAGTGATCAAAAAGCTTCTGATTTAGCGAATATTATCGGTAACAACAACAGATACTTTTGCGAGGCAATTGGCAACAAAATTGCGAAAATATAGACGAATTCCAACTGACCAGGCCATATTACACCGGACTTGTCCGGCTAGACAAGAGTCAAGGCTTAGTATTGCTCTCTTCTTGATAACGCTTGCAGCGTGAACACGTGTAGAGCACATGTCGAGACGTTGACGTTTCGCTGTATGAGCAAGTTGAGCCACGAGATACTGCCAAGCACAGTAGCTTTAATCAGGATACTTTTAAGCAGGTGACAGTAATGTACTACAAGCTATACTTCACCAGTGCTGGCGTCACAGATCAGTGGTGACTCAGCGCTTTTCCAATGCCCTCAAATCAGTGTTTTCATAAATTGCTCAGCCAATATTCAATTCACATACTAAACAGTATAAAATACCAAACAACTCGATTTATTACTAGTCGCAAGAACCGTGGCTGGACTCAGAATCTCGCGACGAATGCGATCAATTTGCTACGCAGCGTTTTAAAGTGTCGTGCCTTTTGAGACAGATGAATTTCAATGCTTGCCACGCGGTACTGAATTGGGTTCAGTGCAGGGGCGGATCCAGGATTTCGTCAAGAGGGGCACGCAACATTGTGGGACGCCTAGAATTTGGGTACCTCCAAAAATATCCTTACATTCCAGCCACTAAATTTTAAAACAGGAAGTATATGTATATATATATATATATATATATATATATATATATATATATATATATATATATATATAGTAAATACGGGAGCCCATCTTGCCGTGTGCAACCCTGTAAAGCTAGGCGTGGTACGTATGCACATACATGGAGCTCACTCGTTTTTTCTGGGGCATGTTAGATCCTGTAAATTTGAGACTGAGCGTTTCGAAAAAAGAGGTAAAATAAACAAGCTGGCTGCTAATTACCATCACAACCAAGTACGGACTTGATTCCTAGCTTATTTACGGTTAGCCAGCTGGATGATGCAATATATAAAGGAGTACAAAATTTCGTAGCATTCAAAATATGTAAAGAGCATGACGCGCAAGTACATTAAGCGTCACAGACAAAACAATTATGAGGACATCAGAGCAAGCGAAGAGAACCCAGGACCAACATAGTGCGCCCCTTAACGATCGGTAGTGCGCCGGCAGGCTGACATACAAGATCTGTGCCATAGCACAGGAGCCTCTGAGCAATGGCTTAATACCCAAGACCATGAATGTATACCCCTGTGCGATTTAGAGTGACTGGGCAGGTTAACAGAAATAACCCTGATAGGAATGAAGAGTCCTCCGCAAAGGAGATCAAAGGAAAAGAGCCCCTAATCAAAGTTGAGGGCCCCTAAACATCGACTGTCTCGGTGCCTTGCTTTATATGAACTCCAGCAACAGCACAAGGCCCTCCGAGCATGTGGAACGAACCCAAGACTACTATGAAGGGCCCCTGAGCAACTGTGTGTAGCCTGACATATGGAACCTTGGAAAAAAGGGTATAGAGCCTGTCGGGCGAATGCGAAGAATCCGTGGAGGAAAACCTGATCGATCAAGAGTGCCCAGTCGTCGAAGCAGACTGTGTCCCAACAGCGGCGTTGGGCCCTACGAGAAAGTGCAAAGAGATCAAGGGCAACGTGGAGGGCTCCTTAACGATCAGATTGGCCCGGCATGTGAACATAGAGGGCCCGGCAGCAGCGTAAGGCCTCTGGACAGCATAATGAGCCCCAAAATGTATCCCAATCAACACCTTCTCAATCCGCGAGGAATTAACTTTGTCTGCTCATAAACTCTTTGCTTTCTTTTGCGACCGTTCATAGCCGTCTGTAGGCCCACAGAGGTTTTTTTTTAAACTGCGTCAGTTTCGCCGGTTATGAACCCGTTCAGAGCCTATGGGTCCCCTCGGCATGGTCCATGGGGGCATGGTCACGTTCCCCTCCCCCCCCCCCGTTCCCTCTCCGTATCCGCCACCGGCCCGAGCAGCTTAATGGGTGGGGCCCGCCAAAAACATAGGGCCATCATCCAAATAAGAAGTACCCAAGACACAACCTGAAGGCCCCCGGAATGATCGAGCGATCCAGAGGAGGTTGACATATAGGGCTCTTGTCAACAGCGTATGGCACTTTATTCAGGTAGGAAGCACTCAACACTCAATGTAAAGGGAGCCCAAACGCTCAAATGTACCCGAGGAGGTTATCAGATAGGCCCCTGACAAGAGCAAAGGGCCCCTATCCAAATAAGAAGCACCCAATGTCCAGTGCGGAGGGCCCCCTAAAGATGAAGTTGACACTAGCAGACAATCAGATGGCCGCCGACAGGAAGGTAGGGCCTTACATTGAAGCATCCAATGTGCAGGGCCCTAAACAGTCCAGTGGGACCGCGTAGGTTAGCAGATAGGGCCATGATCAGTGTGTAGGGCCCTCCACGCAAATAAAAAGTACACAAGACCGAATTTGGAGGGCCTCGAACGGCCGAGTGTACCCGAACAGGTTAACAGATAGGCCCCCGACAAGAGCGCAGGGTTCTAAACAAGTGACAGAGTATTGGAAGCGCCCTCGACCAATGTAGAGGACCCATGAGCATATCGCGAGTGTGTCGTTAGGTTAAACGATACCTACGCAAAGAGCCCCTAAGCACCCGAGAATACCCCGGGAGGTTAATATACGAGGGCTCGGCTATAGCGTACAGAGCCTTCCTGGCAAATAGAAAGAATCCGTGGAAGGCTCCTGACTGATGAGCGCCCCGCCACACAAGCAGTAAGGGCTCAGCAGCAGCGCACGTCCCCCCGAGCAAATTCAAAGAAATCAGGGGCAACGTAGAATGCTCCGTAACGATCGGAATGGCCCTGCAAGTGGGCATATAGGTCCCTCGGAAACGGCGTAATCAGGCTTATCAAATAACAACTTATCAATCACTGAATAATTTTTTGTCTACTCGTGGGTCCTTCACCTTCGCTTGCGACTGTTCTTGGTTGTTTTAAAGTCCAAAGACGTCCAAGTTTGTTGCGTTTTGTGTTTTAAAAAAGAAATGCACCTGTTTGGCCGGCTTTGGGCCTCTTCGGAGCCTGCGGGCCCCTCCGGGGTCCAAGGTGCAGCCACGGCCCCGTGCCCCCCCCCCTCCCTTCTGGATCCGCTCCTGGTTCAGGACAAGGCTGTAAACTGCTGTTGGTTGCTTTCATGTCGTAAGAAGCTGACTGGCTAGAGGAATGTAACTAATCGTTAGTTTTTGTAAAGCAGAAACATAAAAAACCATGCCGATCTGGGAGGATTGTTTGTAGCTGCTTGAGCTGCAGTTTTAGAGGTCAACGAAGGACGTTGGAGTGACGCGTGTCAAGGATTCATCTGGGGATTTCTGCCGAGAGGAGCAGCGAGCGGCTTTGAGGTAAGAGGCCGAGTATCGCTGGTGTGGGCCTCACACTGCCGGCTGTATCTCAGACATAGCGTATTGATCGGTGGGCAGGCGTGGTCTTCTTCTCAAAGGTAAGGTGAAAGGTGCCCGAAGAATATCGATGAAGGTGCTAGAGATGTTTAAAAATGGTGTTTGCATTAGGGGATACCAATATTGCATGGATTTCGCTCAAAGTTATCCGGATCACGTCAGGATGTGCGAGTTCTACGCCGGTAATGCTAATGCGAAAATAATGAGGGTTGCCAACGCTTCCAGCTGATTTTGCGGTGGCGTCACACAACCAACAGTTATATTGTATCAGGTGCTTGTATAACTTTGTTGTAGGGAAATGTAGGGCTACAGGGGTGCAACTTTGCAAAACACGGAGTGATGAGGGAGGGGGTGAGTGCAGGAAGAAAACCTGGTGGAACCTGCCTCAGAAATGATATTAAATAAAAGTTTTCTCACCAGATTCCACGCACTTTCTTTTCGGAGTTGAGAGCCGGGGTGTGGTTTCTAAAAAGTAGGCTTGGGGATGAGGCCTAGAAATTATGAATAATGCAAAATAATGAATAAAGATGAGAGCTATAAATAGAAAACTACCCCCCTATTTATGAGTCACAATACCACCCTAACTGAAAAGAAAACTGCACGCCTCAGGGCTAGCTGTGTTTAGTTTGCCTTAATCTGATAATTATGTTGGTTTGGTCTCGATCATTATTCAGTGTTTGATGGCCAACAAGTGATATATGTGAAAATGTGCAAATAAACTCCCGAAACGGAAATGTTTGATGGTTATGCCGCATTCAATTCCAATTGGCTTTGTCTGTGTGGTGCATCGCATTTAGAGTTGTACTGCAGCGGCTTCTGAAAGATTTGGCTCCAGGTGACAATTAAGATGGTTCCAAAGTTGGTCGGTGACAGAAAAGGCACCTTTTCACCCCTGCCGATGAGTACCGATGTTC